CATTTTAAAATATTGCATCAGTTATTCAGAAAAATGATAAAAGATGTATATTGGCTGGGTAACGTTCGCCGTGTCGTTTGAGCGCTATACAGTATAGCGCGAATACAGAATAGCCTACACAAGGGGCTTCGTTTCCTCACGCGCCTCATGTCTGAACCAGAGCCGGATGCGAGAGGTCGCCGACGCCGATCACATCCCTGAGGACACGGCGGTGCTCAGCCCACGCAGGACACCGCCACCGTATGCTCCACTGTGCACAGTGTCCTCCGGGCGGTCCTCGCAAGGGGCTTACTCTTGAATCCAATTCCTATCAATCGACATTGATATTGTTTCGTACTCTTGAGTAGTAACACTAGCGCCCATTACATCCGTATTGCGTGTATATTGAATGAACTAAATGTTATTGACTTTGGTTTTATATTCCGTACTCTGAATGCTGTTTTAACAGCTACAACAGAGGTTGTATAGTGTTGACATTGAACAATTATTGAAATTGAATTGACTTTGAGATTGGTTTCAAGAGTAAGCAATCAGGTCATGACTATGAGTCCCTACTATGACTATACTATGAGCTTGAAACTGGTCGAGTGACCTCGTCAAGTTACGCTACTAAAGTCAAGCGCTGAGATTATGGCAAACTCGCATTGAGCAAGCGTGGTGATTAATACCCATTACTTCTCCGTGTGAGAAGAGAATATTATTCAGCAGTGAGTACTTTATAGGCTGATTCTGATGATAGAGTGTTACTTCACCTGATGATGAAGTAATACTCCATCATACATATATCTCAGTATATTGACCAAATTGGCGATATATTAAAGAAGGGCCAAATTAAAAGTACCTTTTACCGACGAGCGTGCATGAAAAGACTGTTGACTGTTGATGAAGCGAAAGAGGTATGTAAGAACCGTAGCAATTGGCTTTCCATAGTCTGGGATCCCCATGGGATATAGGCTATTATGTATATATCTCAGAATATCATGATAATTATGCTGTTGTCCATAATAATACCTATTAAAAATTTCTTAATTTAAACACAGGATGGCGAATGAATATCTTCGCACACCTGTGTCAATACTATAAATAAAAAAAACTGATATGTTTACGTTAACACGTTATCTAAGTGTAATAATGATACAAAATACTCTAAAGAATTGAGAAAGAGATTAGAAATTACTTAATTAGTATTATATCAAAGTAATTATACAGGTGCACATCTCGTACGTAACGACCACGTAATGGTATAGGGCGGGACACGAGCAGACAAATTACCTGGGCCTCAAGTCCGCTGTTTTTCATATTTCTTTTGTTTTTTTTTTTAAAAAAACGTTGCCCCACATTAGCATTTTCTCCTGTGTCGTAGGTGCGTTTACAAACATACAAGTTCACACACATGACACCCAGACCCGGAACAACAATTTGTGGATATCACAAAGTGTTGTTCCGTGCGCCCGTGCGGGAATCGAACCCGCGACACGTTGCACGGCTGCCAGTTGCCCAGCCACCGCACCAACCGTGCAGTCATTCTTGTCATTCCAATACGATCGCATTGTCATTTTGCTAAAAGTTCCTAATTTGCCGAGTGGTCGCAAGTGCGACTGCCGGGGCAAGGGGTCTCGGGTTCGATTCCCGGGTAGGGCTAAGGACTAGTAGGGCATGGAGCCTGGAATTGTGCCCGGTATATGGCAATAGGCTCACCCCCTATTACATGGGACTCATAACATAAATAGTGAAAAGTGGGTGTTACATTGTACGGGTCGTAATGTGCACTTCTGCTTGCCCCTTCGGGGATAAAAGGTGTGATGTTATGTTCCTAATCTGTTAAATACATAATAGTCGATCATTGATCGGTACATGGTCTCGTAATGGAACTGTAGTAGAATGATATTGCCCTTATTAACTTTGTACTAGAAATAATTTTCGAAAAACTACTACTAAAGAACATTTATTCATGTCAGATGTTATTTATAATTTTATTTTACAAAACATCTATCAGTGTTATATGCAATCTGAAGTATCTGTCATTCATTACGCACGAGATTACCATTCTATGTCATTGCTTTCAATGGTTTACCATTGATAAGTCATAATGACGCCATTACATTAATAGGTTACCAAACTTGTCAAAATCAACAAATATGAAATCAATGATCGATAATTCTGACACTATTGTAACGGCAGAGCTTGAGGCCCTGATGGTAAGCAATTGGCTTCCCCCATAGATGCAACACTAGTTGAAGTACAAGTGCGTCGGTCTTTATAATCGGACCGTCACGCGGTGCAACATATTGCAAGCGTTGTATCACGCCTGTATATTGTGAGGCCGTGGTACTCCAGTCCAGCCGACCCATTCGTGTCGAAATATGGCTCTCTCTCATGACTATAAGCTTTCGGCAGTTATTTTACGAATCCCGTTTAATAAGGGCAGGTCTTCGGCAAATGGAAGAAGACATGTATGGCGCTGGCCACAAGTAAGAGATATATTCAGTAATTTAGGTGATACTGAAGATTCAAATATACAATACAATTGAATAAATATCCTCATGCCTGTCTCCCATTGAGTTAGGCAATGGAACTTGAAACTTATTGAAGTATTTAACCTTAAGAGTAGGCGCGCCTGGTGAATGGTCAGAGGGCGCCCGGTGGGCAATTTGCTACCCGGCTATTCCTGGTGGTAATAACCTTCTTTCAACCGGTCCCCAGCGCTTTTACAGCGTCAAACCTTTCAGTACGCATTGCTTACAACCTTAGAGGCAGCTACTAAAAAGAGCAAGCCTATCGAGCTGTTGTTGCAATAGTTATTAACGTTTATTGCACGGGTACGGCAAAATTTCGATGGGGGAAAATCGTTCAATGACTTATCCCGCCTGGGTGAGGAAGGAGGGAGTGTCAGACTCTTACTGACTAAAAACCACTCCGTTCCTTCTCCTGGCCTTCGAGCCGGAGTCCTGGTAACCCGTTAAGCCCTCCGCAGTTCTGTATAGGCCCTGTTGGGCCCCATCTATAGTGGTTTTGTGGCTCTTTGAGGGGCCATATGCTCGGGTTTGGTTCTGGTCAGGCGGCGAGTTACCCGTGCTCGCCGTCCGCACGCCCAAGGGTTAAAACAAAGGTACTGGTCGATACACAGTCACCACACAGTCACAAATATGATCAAAATGATAGAATATTAAATAATGTACAATTAACCACTCAACATCTCATATCAATCCGCATTCAGATACACAACGGCTAAAATCGTTAAAATTCAGACTATCACCAATTCACCATTGTTAAACAATAGCAAGTTTCTTATTAGCTTACTAGACACCTGTTTTGACATAATTCATATTGAAAATATGGGAAATTATTCCGCAATCAGAACTATTAGAATAACGGAAGTCAACTGAATGTAATAAAGTTTTTTTACTATAGAAGATTTCTGACTGATTAGAATCTGCTAGACAAGCAAATTTAAACTCAAATTCACACTCAAAAGCATTTATTTCAATTAAATCGTTGAGTACCGTCATTATAGAACAATAGGTTGCGGTCACCGGTGACCGCTTGGTGTTTGACAGTTTAAACCACAATTTGGTACTTTTGAAACTTCAACAAATATAAAACAATAGTCTGTCCGTCAGTGAAGCTAGGCGCTTGTTCCAAAAAGTGGATTCAAGTGGAGAAGAACGAGCAAGTAACTCCATTTGTTTCTCTTTTAGACACCAATGGCATACAGAGAAGGAAAACATTGTGATAACCTGGGCTTATAATTTCTAATTATAAGTTTGAAATCGCCAACCCGCATTGAGCAAGCGTGGTGGTTAATGCTCAAACCTTCTCCACAGCAGTGAGCACTTTTAGGCTGATGATTTGAAGTAAATCTAAGTGATGGAACCAGACCACAGACTGTTTAGAATCCTGGTGTTTAATATTTAATTGGAAAAATCAAGATTAGACTATTTAGTTAGATAATTTGTTTACAAACAGCAAATATTTTCACAATGGGACTATTTGACAGACATTTTCACTTTAAATATTTGGTTTAGGTTTCCAATAGTGGTTTATTGGTCTAACTGTAATTAGAATAAATGATTTGACTTTGTTAAAATCTCATTTTTCTACAAAATTGGATATTGCTAAAAAAAAATCTCAAATAAAGTTTTTAAATTAAGTTACCGAAAAATTACAGTTCGCTATAAACAAACTGTTACCCGACAAAAATAATGTTTATATTTTGGATGATTATTGACTTTGAGAAGTTCTTACAGTTGTAATTAAACTGAGAAATTGAAAATTGTATTTAAATTAACTAAGTGACAAAACTATGTCTAGAAATATAAATTATTATTTAATTATTAAACTTATATCATGTAGGAAATCAATAACAATTAGCTAGTCGTAATTTTTTACAGGAAGTATAGTATTAGTCATGTAAAATATTGTTTTTTTTTTATATAAAATCTAACAATTTGGTGTCAGTTTTAAAAGTTTTTAACTGGTAGTTTTTGGGTTAAAACTTTTTTTGTTGGAATAAATTGGGAATAAAACCTTTGTCTTCTAAACTTAAAAATAAAAATTGTTCATCATGTTTATGGTCAAAACTAAGCATGCAAAGCATGTTACTGTGTTAGTATATTATTTATAAACATGTCTAGGTTAAAATGCAAGCAACAAATATTACAATAACAATCCAATTAGAATAACCAAATAACATTCAAATCCGAAAATTTGCATTACACATTACTTTTTTTTCTTCAAATCAAAGACAACAGATCTCAGGTCAAATGACCACATCATTTTTCATTGTCCGCCAAAATTATGCAAAAAAAACAACAATTGCGATAATGATCATGCCAGTGCCACAACAGACATACGAAATATAAAAAGTTTGGTTACTGACACTATGGAAATGCATTAAGACCCTTAAAAGAAGCAAAACAAATAAACTGGTGAAACTTATGAGTCATCGGCCAAGGAAATATTATTAATGTTGTTAGCAGAGATGGAAAAACCCGAAATACCTTTATTCTTACCCATAGTTGTGACGTTATAATCGGCCTGGGTGAAATGAAGACTGCAAACTTTTGAATACTTCGTATACGGCTTGCCTCGCTTCAGAATCAAGTTCCATTTGTCTGCCATAGTCACGTCACGAGGAAACCGATGAAATTTCACGTTTTTCGTCTTGCCGGCGAGCGACGTGCATTGCGGGACAGTGCAATAATATCCCATCTTCCTTTCTTACTTGGTTCCCCAAACTTTTGAATGTTTACAGTCGGCGAAACGAACACAACACATCGAATTGGATTGTAACCTCTAGTCCCGGACACTACTATGTTATTTATTTTATTTGTTGAAAACGTTATCACGTTGGTTTGGAAAAAAATGGAATCATCACACTGTAGCCTTGAAATATTTGACATCTATTTTTCCCTTCCCACTTTTTTTTTCAAAAAAAAATGGCCACTTTTATGGACCATAGACTTTGTTTTGACGTCGTTTCTTTTCATGCAAACTTATATATCTTGATCGATTTGCCTTTTCATAATCGACTAAAATCATTTTGAAAACTCAAAATTTAAAATTAGTTTTATTTATTTCTCAATTTTAATAAACTTTTCAAGCATTCTGAAAGTATTAAGAATTAATGATGTTGGTAAAAAGTGGATTTTAATTTTAATCGATTCGAAATGTTTAGGCGATTATTAGGCATAGACAAACAGACTCTACATGCAAGCTGGCAACATTCCAATCGTTCCTTCAACTATGATTAAATGTCTCAGCTTGGTGTTTATGCGCGAAGTTTTGTTTGTTTTTCTATAAAAATCAACTGTTTTAATAACAGTATAATTGCTAAGTTATGTTAATTCGTGTATGAACTAGTTTCGGTGTAAAAAGATGCCTTACTACTGCACAGTGCCGCGTTGCACGTCAATGGCCGGAAAGGTGAAAAACGTCTCATTTCACCAATTTCCTAGGGATGAAGAACTTGCAAAACTATGGAACGATATATTGAAACGGGGAAAACCATACACGAAGTATTCTAAAGTGTGCAGTCTACATTTCAAGCAAGAAGATTATACAATAACTAGCGCAGGGAAAAATAAAGGTAAGTACCATATACGTTTTATTTTATCTACCTATAACTAGATGCATAACATACTGTTAATTATGTTTACCTACTTATATATCGCTATTTTATTTACGATTCACGATTGTCATTAATAGTACTATCATTTTTAACGCTTTAACCTTGTTTATTTTGTTGTTTTAAGCTATTTTTCAACAATATTAATCTGTTATCTTTTCGTGGTATAACTTGTCTCTGAATCTTTAATTACGTGGTATTTATCTACATCCTTACTGTTTATTGATACTAGGAATCGATGGTTTGCTTATTTTAAAGATTTCAATGTTAATTTCTTTGATTTTAGTTCTTATTATGACTATATAAAGATATATGTAGTCCAGTAATTATTTAAAAAGTAGGTGTTATTATAGTCTCAATTAACTTCTAGTAAATTTTGTACTGCATGTTAATTTAATACTACAGCAACTTACTCGGAAGAAAGATAGCCATGTTATTTAATTTTAAATAATCCCACAGGAACATATTATTTCAAAGAAACATAACCACCATTTAGTTCCAATTTATATTTTTCATCTCTGTACCAAATCTCATCTCATCCAGATCCCTTCATATACCTTAAACTGTCAAACACCGAGCGGTCACCGGTGACCGCAACCTATTGTTCTTTAATTGTGTCTATAATGACGGTACTCAATGAGTTAATGATATCCTAATCTATATTAACTTTTACGACTATCTATCAATCAATCCATCCTGACTGGTCTTAACCACAGCAAGATTACTCCGATTATATTTATTGAAATACTAGCTTGTACCAGTGGCTTCACCCACATTCCTGTTGGAAAAGACATAGCCTATGTGTGATTCCAGACCATAATCCAGCCTTGTACAAAACTCACGAAGTTTTGTATTTATAATATTAGTAAGATTATTATCTTAGTATATTATATGTAAAAATAAAAATAATAATCTACCTAGTCTTAAGATGTATATTACTATACTAGTCTAGCTATTTTGGTGCAGTTACACACGCTTTGCTTGGGTCCTATTGGTCGTAGCGTGATGTTTTATAGCCTATAGCCTTCCTCGATAAATGCACTATCCAACAGACAAACTCATCGCCTTTATATTATGGTATAAGATTACTAAAATAATTCTGTAAAATATTTTAACAAATATAACTCTCAAATGACTACACAAAGTCAGATAATTCCATACTTGTGTTAATTTTAGTCATGAGAAAGTTGGTATTTTAAAAAAATTACAGTTAGCGTCGGTTCACACAGACGCGACGCGATCCGAAGCGACGTAACACTATGCTACGTGCGGCGCGTAAATGGCGCGGTAGCTAGGCAACCGCCCGCCGCGCAACATGTAGCAGGTTAAACTCGTTGAGTACCGTCATTATAGACACAATTAAAGAATAATAGCTTGCGGTCACCGGTGTTTGACAGTTTAAATCTGACTGAAACAATTTCTATTTTGGTACTACACCTAACTAAATCATAAAAGATATTACGACACCTCAGAATTCTTTTTCGAAAAACTTCTGAGAAAAGTACCTAGGTATGATCTAAATCGCTGCACATTCCCGTTTGGAGAAACGCTTTTTGTGATCCACCATGGTTCGTGGTTGTTTCGGGTCTTGATGTCATGCTAATGTAAAATGGTATGCTTCCAAACACACTCACGACACAGGAGAAAATCCTAGTGTAGGGGACAATATTTTTTTATAAAGAGAAAAAGTTAGCGTCTATTCACACAGAGACGCGACGCGACGCTATGCTGCGCGAACAAATTGAAAGACGACTCAAAAAATACTTTATTTTCTACACAACAAGATACACATTTCATGCATTGCGTGTCGCGGCGGTGCTGCAACGTCAAAGTCAAAGCATTTATTTCGATTAAACCATAATTTGGTACTTTTGAAACGTCAACAAATACAAAATGAATAATAGTCTGTCAGTCAGTCCGTCAGTGAAGCTCATTGCTCATTCCAAAAAGTGGATTCAAGTAGAGAAGAACGAGCAAGAAACTCCATTTGTTACTCTTTTTAAAAAGTATGTTCTACAATGTCTCTGATACATAATCCAATACTGTACGCATATGTGAGAACAATAAAATGCCAATGCCTCTCATAAGGCAGCAAAGGCATTACAGTGTCGTGGATTGTATGATTAGTCGCTTTAAACTTAGAGATCTAGGCAAGCAAGCAGCCGTCACTGTATAGGCAGTTGGGCACACCCGTCTCGCGGCACCCTGTGTATAGTGTGCCTTATGCCTTGTTCGCACTACGCTAGTATTAGTCGAGTACTCGTGTTTAGTAGCTTCGCTTCGCTTCTGTCCTAAAATCAGAACGAAAATGAGTTACTATAGTGTTCGCTACTTGACTAAAATACTAGCATAGTGTGAACAAGGCATTAGGGATAATTCGGCTCTGAGTTAGAGACATACTTGCGTGTCGCGTGGGTCGCCAAATGCTTGCAGTCGATTGGTGGCTACGGTGCTACGAGTTTACACCACGCTACGGTAGTGTATTTCTGCCGTTACGGTAGCATAGCGTCGCAAACTCAGTGTGAACTGACCTTTACTTGAAAAGTCAGGAATTAGCACTTGAGCAAAGCCAGGATGGGTTGCTAGTTTTTAATATTTTAATAATTTAAATTGTAATTATATTATCATGATTTCTAAGGCAGGTATAACCTGGGTGTCTTCAAGGCCCGAGTGAATAAGTTGCTTCTGAGACGACGTGCTCCATCGTAGGCCGCATCTAAATACTTTATTGCTTTCCACATGTATTACTTAGGTGGTAAAAACAATTAGGACACAATTTGGACCCTGCACAAAGGTTCAAAACCTACCAACGTCAAGTACCAATGTGACTTTTTCTGTGTTATAATATGTACTTACTAAGATTATTTAGACACCACTGACAACGGAAAACATCTTGAGGAAACCTGGACTTATAATTTCTGATTCGTAGTCGATTAAAAAAGTGCGTTTCTCGTATTTTTGGGGATTAGGAATTTGAATATTTGGGGATTGGGGAGCGTGGGGGAAATTCGGCCTCTGATACTCTCACTCAAAAGACGAAACACAACGCAAACCATTGCTTGTGTTTTGTGAAAAACAGAAAACCAACGAATCAATCTTCACGAATCAATTTTCACGTCGGTTTTCTATGAAACCGTGGTATCATACCGGTCAAGCTACTCGATCCGGCCCATTCTTTAAAATATATTTTCAATTCAATCTATGAAATAGGTATATTACTTCTTTTTTCCTATTTGAATCTATGATTCGACTGCACGGTTGGTGCGGAGGCTGGGCAACCGGCTGCCGTGCAACGTGTCGCGGGTTCGATTCCCGCACGGAACAACACTTTGTGTGATCCACAAATTGTTGTTCCGGGTCTGGGTGTCATGTGTATGTGAACTTGTATGTTTGTAAACGCACCCACGACACAGGAGAAAATCCTAGTGTGGGGCAACGTCTCTTTTATAAAAAAAAAAAAAAAAAATCAGTCGCAAGATTATAATGCTGAAGCTGAATTGTTATGGCGATTTGGCGAAGTAACCGATGTCCCTTCTGCCTTTGCCAAGCACTTTCTTCCGCTACAGCCTGTCCGCAGAACTATTAATTAATTAGTTAATAATGTATTAGTTATTAGG